ATAGGTAACAAAACACTGTTTGCATAGTAAGTCATGTAGCATGTACAGGGAAGAGCAGCTAGACCTGGATCTGCTACCGAAGTATGACCCCTGTGCACTTTCCTTACCCAGACTCCGTGCTCCCACCTGCTCAAAGGGGTAATACTGTTATGCGTGCTTCATGAATGGTAATTATTACCCACATAGTAAATGACTTATGATAGTATTTATTGATTAAAAAGAAACATTAATCATTTTATTAGTTATAAACATACTCTTACGCTTAGCCATATACTTGATTTCTCCAGGAAATAACCCCTCTTTCTCCTCCTCAAACTCTATGTCTATTTTGTTTGCCAAGACTTAGTATGTTAGTAGCTGATGCCCTAAGCCCTAGTTGCTTTTGCTGTACCAAGTATGAGTAGAGATTGAAAATAATAGAACACAAGAGAACCCCCCCCACACACACACCAAGTCCTCAACTGCATAACAACTTCAGGGCAGTGGAGACACAATTCATATAAGCACGACCATTTTGAAGACATCACTGCCTACTTCTCATGTGACCTCCACTGTCCTTGCTTTTCTCTATTGATAAAACTGTGACCCATTTAATTCGTGGTTTAAAGAACAAATTTGAGCTGAAGCAGTCAGCCAAGGAAAACCCACAGCTTGTTTTACTTATTATACCTTTGATGCAAAGCCAATTTATTATTTGTCTAGGTGTAAAATTGCCTGCAGTATGGTGAAAGCAAAAGAAAACATTTGGCATTCCCAGGTGAATTTATAGTATTTTTCACTGGGGCGTGTGCTTTGCCCGTGCATTAGTAGACAAACTGTAACGTGGAGGGTTACTTGTACGATCAGCTTTAGGACAAGATGAGAAAAAGGAAGCACAAAGTGGAAGGTGCTAATTGCTTTATCCTCCTGAATTTTAGTGAGCCGACCAGGAGTTGTGAGAATTTGGACAGTTAAAATTTGCTTGACAGGTTGCAGTTAAAAATTCCTAGTGATATTATTGTAGAGCATAAACAGGAAATGGTCAAAAGCCATTTCTCTGCAAAACCTGATTTTCATACGACTGTCAACACAGCAATTATTTTGTCTTTTTTTTTCTTTTAAGGTGGAGGAACATGTTATAGGGAATTTTTTTGAAAGAAAGTTTTTAAACCTGTTTAAAACTTCTTTTTGAAAATGAGGCTTTTTTTTTAGTCAATATGTCTTCAGATCCTGAGGAAAAGCAATGAAGCGGAAAACGTGTGATTCCAAGGCCAGGTTTTTGAGAGGAGCAGCGAGCGCTGAATTCAGGCATTCTTGCTGCGCTCAGCAGACTTGGGCCAGCAATCAAAACTATTTGATTCTAAAGCTGATATTCCTATAACCAGGCAGGTTCCAGCACATTGTGAGCTCTGAAAACGCATAATTACAAACAAAGCCTAGCAAGCAGCACACTTAATATAGCTCGCTGCCTGCCTGGAGCACACAGCTCTTTCACTTACACATTCTCTCACCTGTCCTTAGGAGCCCTGGCTTGCCACCTTTCATGACAGCACCAAGGCAAGACAGGAAGTGGCCAGGAAAGGCCACATGTTGCTCCTGGCTCAACGTGACCCCTCGACAAATGGCATAGAATCGATGCATCAAACGTGTTGTAGGACAGTGGTGTGGAGGGATGGCAAAGCCTAACATGTACTCTCTGGCTTCAAAAGGATTCGTGACTCGGTAGGGAGAGTGTGGTGTGAAGGTCACGGGGGAAGATGATTACGCTCCCCCTGCTCAAGCAACTGCAGTGCTAGCTTCTTCTTCTCACTCGGAGAATTATAGCTCATCTTCCTCGGGCAGCATGAAGAGCTCCCCACACCCTAGGTCTAGGTAGAATGGGAGAGAATCTATTGAGTTGTCTTTAATGGATATGTCTTAATTCTCTATTGCTGTGCAACAAATTTCCACAGACTTAGGCACATAAAACAATACTGTTTATAGTCTCACAGTTTCTCGGGGTTGGGAGAAGCTGGAATACAAGTGGCTTGGGTTCTTTGCGCAGTGTCTCACCATACTGAAATCAAGGGGTGACCAGGGAACCAGCTCCCATGAGGTGCTAAGGGGCCTCTTCCAGGCTCACAGGTTGCTGGCCAATTTGCTTTTGTTGCAGCTATGTGACTGCAGTACCAATTTTCCTGCTAGGGGATTGGTCTCTGTAACTAGAAGTCACCTTCCATGCCTTGCCACACGAACCCAAAAAGGCAGCTCACAACACAATTGCTTGCTATCCTCCGGCTCAACTGGAGCTTACTATGTGACACTCACTGCCTTCTGAAGGTTGACCCGATTAGACCAGGCCCTCCCAGGACAATGGCACCCATAACATCTCTCACAGCCAGCACCAGTACCCGTTATTAATCTTCAGTTTCATCACAGTGTGCATTCAGCAGGGCTTAACTCAAAGTCATCAGCGAGTTCTCCGATCTTGAAGTGTTATCTTCTAGTCACTAGTGCTGCCCACACTTGAGGAGAAGGGACTGAGCAGGCTATGCAGCGGAGGACACGGGTGCTTGCTGAGGCACCTTGAGAGCCTCCTTCCACATGTCCTCTACCCATGACCAAGCACCAGGCTGTGTTTGCTGCCTTGTCCTCGGGGTCAAGTAACCACAGTCTTCCAGAGGATGACTCTTCTTTACCCTCCATCAATGTCTACAAAAATAGAACAGTGTTGTGTAAAAGGAATTAATCACGAATGATAGCGTTTCAGGCAATAGAACAAGTGCGTGCTTTTGTATTGTCAATGCCTCGCATAGTGTCTGATATTTAAGAGACCTCAATTTATGTTTCTTCAATAGATGAATATGTGAATGATTAAATGAGAAGCACTCTGAGCATCTTCATCAGAGGGAAGCCATATAAAAATGCCTTCTCTTTCTATGTGCAAGGATGAATCCTCTTCTTAGTTTTTAATCACTTTCCCCCTGGTGAAGCATGCTTGTTATGAAACACACGGGCATGTTTCTTGTTTCTATGATTTTATTTTTTTGTATTTAATTTTTTAATCCAAGTAGAACTAAGTTCTCAATATCATATATAATATATTTCATCTCTGCCCAATTAGTCTGTCAGACTTCTTTTATTATATACTGCCCTTATGTATAAGGTACACTATGTGAGCCAGAACTGCCTACTTTGATTATCAGAATTTTATCATGTTCTAAGATTCAAGAGGGCGAGTAGTGGCTCTTGACTTTTCTTTCAGCCCCTTTCCAGCCAGTTCATTAGATGAAGGTCTGTCTTACTCCCGTAGCAGCTCGGGCAGCACAGTGGTCTTTGGCAAAGTCTGAACATGATTTAGCTTTATATGTTACTTCTGTGTCTTCCCAGCTCAACATCTCTGGGTCATACTGAAATGGAAACTTTGAATAATACTTCCTGTATAACAAACTTATCATGCAAACAGAGGCATCTCCAACGAATCACCCAGCATGGAGTAGGTATCAATAGCTACCAGCTGGAAGGGAGGAACAACTGACTCTCCTACCACTCATGCTTCTGTGCCTGTACCCTCTCAAGTACGGACTAGAGAAAGCAACCTGCAGGAAGACTGTGGCTCAGTCTCTCAGATTCAGGACAACTCTGAGGCTGCGTGTGCCATGGTTCATTTGGCTGTTACCTCTGTGTAGCCCCTTTAGAGTTCTGCTTGATCCTGGGAAAGTCTGGAGGTTCTATGAGTTGAAACTTTCTGCAGGCTCCCCCAGGAACTCTGGAAAGGGGTATGAATCAGGTGATGAGACCCACTTTGCCCATGGCTACAGCAGTCTTGAAGGGCCAGGGAGTTAACACCCTTGCCTCATGCCAAGGGAGCCTGTTTCTGCACTTTTGCAGCCTGAGAAAGTCCTCAAGCCATGAATTCCAGGTCCTGGGAACTGGAGTCACTCTGGCACACACTGCTGAGATATGGTGAGGGGTCATGGGCAGAACTCTAACAGCATGTGCTAGAAATTAAAAACTGAGGAGATTGTCATAATTCCAGGAAGCTCCACCATATTGAACAATCCCTTGCATCAGCCTAGAGGCTGATAAAGGTGACCATCTTCAGACAAAGTGCAGGTACTTGAAATCAGAGGCCTGTGGTGAGTCACAGGTAGTGAGGAGTTGTGAAGATCACTCTCCTTTCCTGGCATCTACTCTCTGACTCAGTACTCAGAGTGTTCATTCACTCATTCATTCATTCAGAAAGAGTGTTTGAAAGCCTCCTCTGCCCCTTTGGGAGGCAGGATAGAGGATGCAACAGTGAGGGATGGCCCCACCTGATGGAGCTTTGAGGCTACACAGTGAGGAAGGAGTCCGGAGGAAATCTTGATCTTCTGACATCTGCTCTGATGATTGCATGTCTTTCAATAGAGTATGGACCAATGTCTAACACAGCAGAGGCCATAGGCATTGCCCTGTAGGCTTTGCTATTTTTTCCAAAGCCACTGTAAACTCAGAGAGACAATCAGTTTGCCCAAGTCCATCCAGCTTTATAGCAGCAAAGGGATGTGACTACTTCTCTGCTCTATAATTCTCCATAGGAAAATTGGGCTGCTACTTGCTTTAATGGAAGCTCCTAGGGATAATGCTTGGTCTTATGGGATTATGGAAACGTATTGAAAGGTTCTAAGAGAAACAGAAATAGATGGTGCTGAGTTAGTCGATGTAGGAAAGCAATATAGCATAAAGGTCAAGCGCCAGACACTCCGAGTTCAAATTTTGGTTTTACTGCTTGACAGCTAAGGGAACTCAAGCACCTGTCTTAATCTCTTTAATCTCTACCTTCTCACCTATCAAATGTTAATGTTGCCTCAAAGATTTTTTTTTTTGAAGAAATAAATAAAATTATGTACCTAGAGTGCTTAGCTCAATACCCAGGACCTTGTTATATGACCAGGATAAAGGATTTCCAATGGACCCCGCCCTGTTATGTCTATGCCACAGAGAGGCCCATAGGATAAGAGCAGGATGCCTAGCTGACATCTCCTTTTGGACTTTTCCAGTTCTGGAGCCCTGGAGGAGCAGCACTGAGGCAGAGAGCGTGGCAAGAGAATGAAGAAACCAACTGCCTGGGGGAAGCATGAGGTGGCAGTGTGGCACTCAGCTTAGAGGGCTTTGGCTGGCAGCAGCCCCATGGGCAGCCCTGCTGGCACTGGCCCTGCCCAGTTGGGTGCTGGCTGTCTCAGCCACAGTAGCTGCTGCAGGAGTCCCTGAGCAGCATGCCTCCTCAGCTGGCCAGCCACCCCTGGACTGGCTGCTCACAGACCGAGGACCCTTCCACCGTGCGCAGGAGTATGCTGACTTCATGGAGCGGTACCGCCAGGGGTTCACCACCAGGTACAGGATCTACAGGTGAGTGTGCTCTTCCCTGGATGGTGAGACAAGTGCTTCCCTTGGAAGCCAAGCTGGGCAGGCTGTGCCCGCATGACCCAACTCTTCCACTGTCAAGCCAGGCAGGATGCCCTCAAACTAAACTACAGCTGAAAGCCTGAGGAGCACCAGGCAGGGAGGAGAAGCCTGCCATGTTGGCGTTTTAAAACAGAAAGACAAAAACACATACAAGCTGAAAAACTCGCTGATGCCTCCTGGGGAACTTAGCAAAAATGGTTTCTATTTATAGGTTGTGCTGCTTATAAATTGAGGACAATTCAGGCAACTTGGAGTCAATGTGTGGCCTATGCTGCTGTAGGAGGTCAGAGTCAAATGCTGAGGCTGGGTTTTAACTAATGGGTTAGATATTTTTATGAGTTGTAATTAGACATGCAAATGAAGGAAAGGAAGCTCTAGCACCTGCTTTCTAGGCCCAGGGAGGTCCATGGGGTCAGGGTTGGGCCTCTCTCACCCTTGTCCATGCCACAAGCTCAGCTGACCTTGTGCAAGGATGTGGGCTCTACCTTCCTGGCTTGTAAGGCTCATCTCCAAGAGCCTCAGTGTGAAAGTCAAACTTGTGAATCTTGCCTTTTGTTTCTGGTGTGGCTAAGTCACACATGTTCCTGGCTGCTGGACCAGCACCCCCACAGTAGACAATTCCTCCAGGTCCTCAGCCTGTGTGACCCAGCAAGGCTTGGGGTCTCCCAGGTATACACCAAATTTCAAACATTACCTAATTCCTTAGCCTACTTGCCCATTTGTTGCCTACCCCTTTCCTTTTTCACTTTATCTGGATAAGGTAGGTCTTTAGATATAACTTGAACTTCAGTACATTTTGTCTCTTTCCAAGGACATTTCTTTTTTAATTATAAATTAGTTTCTAATGGAGAAAATATAAAAAGACACAAAAAGAAATGAAAATGCAAAATCACCCATTCTTTTTAGCATGGAGAGATTGCTATTGTTAACATTTTGGCATGTCCCATGAAGATACTGTTTTTGGATCTCTTGGTAGACTTTGCATGGCTTATGCAAATCACCTCATTTAATTCTTCCAACAGCCCTTTGTTGGAAGAATAGTTATTCTCTTTTCACCAGTGAGGAATCTGAAAGCCAGAGAGCTGAGAAACTTGTGGAAGAGCACACAGCTAGTACTTCGCATTAACTCTCAACAAGTGAACCTTTAGAATCTGAGTTCTTATACTAAAGAACATTTGCGCTATCTGTAGTACCCATGCAACCTGTTTAGGCTAGCATGGGGCTGAAAAAAGGTTTGGGAGCTCCCTGAGTGGAAGATGCCTGAATGACAAGACGGACAGTTTTATAGAGGCCACTCACCTGGTTTACAATTCCTGCAGGTGGATGCAGACAGAAAGGAAGATCGTGTATCAGGGGTCGGTATATCACAGGGCAAAGGCCACATCAAAATTGGGAAGAGTCTGCTTGACTCTCCTTTCTGGCCTTTCCCCTATGCTTAGTT